AATTATTCCCATCCTCCTTTCTACTTCCCGTTCACCCGGCGGTTCGATCCTCACGCGGTATCTTTTTTCTCGAAAAACCTGTGAGTTATCGAGGCCCGGCCACGTATGCGCGAACCGGTACACTCGCATCATCCATACGCGTGACATTTTTTTTCCACTTTTTTGTTCCAAAGGAACGTAGTTGAAGTTATCACGCAAGAAGTGCAATTTACCTGGACTATGTAGTGGATAATTACAGAATTAATGAAGATACTGCAACTTTGTTGCATTAATGAAGAGCAAAAGCCACTGACATGTTTTATCGCGATATAAAAACACTGAGCTGCTGCATTAATGATGTCATACGCACTTTGTTCCCGGCATTACTGAGCCCCAGGCGAAAAATGAATTCCGATAAACTTTGTTGCATTCATGAGCCTATTGGAAAAAAATCAATAATTTATCGGTCTGAACTATAACTTTACTTTCAATGCGTTAGTTGCGGTTTTTTCAATTATTTTGCAATTGATACATGTGTGTCGTAGCTCTCGCCGAAGGAGATCAGTCGGTACGCAACAACAAACTGTCTATTAATAATTGCCATATCTCGAATGAGAGATAATGAAAGAATATCATTTTTGATTAATAAGAAATTCTAAACTTCTATCAATGGTTAATTTCAGTAAACAGTGCTAATGACGCTGAAATGATTTCCAGTACTTGGTTTAATGCCTTTTCCATCCAACTTTCGTGACACAACGGCATCAGATCGATTGGGATAAGAGGGTCCCTCCGGCTAATCGTTCATGTACACGTACCTTGCATGTTGAGGCAGGTTACGATCGCTCGAGTGGCCAATCTCTTTCCCTTGGTTTTTTTTTGGAGTTCCCCTCTCTTTTTCCATGTGCCTCGGGTCCTCTCTGATGCAAAATACTGTACTTCGGATTCTCCCGGAATTTTTGCCTGTGCTGTTTGATATTTCAAAGACAAATACAACTCTCTCATGCAAATTGAACGACAGAAAGTTGGAAAAAAGTGGAGATGGAACATTGAGGGGGAACTTTTCAACTGCTAATTAGGCATTGTAGTCGAGTTTCGGGCCTTCTAAAGGTTAATCTTTACTCAAAAAAATGTTGTGGAAGAACTAATCGCGGTTAATTTGGATTCACGAGGTTCATTGACAGCGAAGTGGTAGAACGAGATAAATCTGGGGTGGATTTGCTAATTATTTGACAAACATGGTGTAGAATCGGTTCAGGAATTTTTTCCCCGTCAAAAATGCCTCGTATGCATGCGTTTTACGATCTATCGGATAGATCACGGAAAATTTGAAGAAATTTTTTGTTTCCGTTTATTACTTCCGCATTGATTTATCGTTTTTTCCTGATTTTTTCATAATCCGTTCTATGGATCATAAAATGGATGCGGACCTTTGATCTTTGAAGAATAACGAACATTTTGAAAAGAAAATTGGCAATCGGATGAAAATGAAGGCACTGGGACGGAATCCCGAAAAAAGAGACCACGGAAAAAATTGATCAAAGGAAATTTTAAAGTTGCGTGCACGGAGAAAAAAATTCAGTAAAAATTATCAGAACAAAAACGTAAAAATTATGTTTCGAAACGTCATCCGCGAGCGAAGTAAAATTCAATAAAAAGTGTGAGTCGGAACTGAAATCGTACAAATCGCCACGTAAATCCTACGATTTGTTCCGTAAAAATTAACCACCCGACTGATGACTCGTCGCTGTGGGGACAAGTCGTTCCGTAATTTTTCCCCAACGATTGAGAAATTTGACGGAACAGAACGTAGAAATAACTCACCAGCTTCATAAAAATTGTTGAATGTTCAAGAATTTTTTATGTTGGAGGCATAATAAGTCGGGAAGTTTCTGTAAGATTTCACATCTTCGCGAAAAATTACGTGACAATTTCGTACTTTGTTCGGAGATGAACCTGAAAGTTCACTGAACGTTTCAGATTTCTTCTCTTCCATTCCCATAAAAATTGCAGGAGAACGATTCCCCATTGCGGATTACGTGAAGTATTCCGTAATTTTACTGAATATTTCTCTCCGTGTGGGTTTTAGCACGTTTTGGGTATGTGGGCTTTCTTTTCCGCCTCCCCGTGGACGATTTTGGAGGTAAAAATGGAAAACCTTGTTTTTCGATGATCCTCGAGGAAAATCGATTGGCCTCGTCATTTTTCCTACTTCTTAACATATCTCATAATATATAAAAATTCGCTCAGTGACTCCCTAGCTCTAACGAGGACTTTCGAATTTCATCGCGGTCTCCCCGTAACGAGGCTCCTTAATTATGCATGTCATTCGTCAATTATTAACGAGCGGTGTTAATAGTTAAGAAATCTCGTTTTACCCTCTGATATGTAATTTAAATTATCGCATTTTCACGCTCATTTCGATAGAAATATTGGACTAATGATGTGTTCACCTCAGCTAGACGAACGTAGGGTCATTTACTTGATTAATCTCGCACTTTTTCCGAAAATCGAGTTTGCTCCACGATTACTTGACTTGTTCGCTAATTTTTCTCCAATTTTTTTTCTCCGCGTAAGCTTCCGAATGAATCCCCAACAATTTTCTGACTCATTCTATCCTCCCAACTTAAACAAATAATACTGTATCAAGGATGTACTTCATCTCATTGGGTATGACTCTCAGTAAGTTGATACTCCGCTCCACGTGGTACCTCCAGTTCTTAATTCTGAAATCCCGAGACGGAGAGACGAAACCTTCTTTTCATTCTTCCTTTTCTCTTTTTCCGCAGCTCGTTATCATGGCAAATGGCTCGTTTTACTGACTCGTTATCTCGGCAGTGACTGAGAGAAGTCTGGATCCTTTTATTCTTTTTTCTCTTTGACAATTTTTTCATCTTCTCTTTGCGGTATGAATGTAACCACTAAGTTATAATTTTTAATCGAGGACAAATTGTATAAATTGAGTGAGTGATATCTGTCGCTGTCGGCACGTGCAGCCTGCATCAGTGAGAGATCAATATAATCGCTGTGACGGGCCGAGTGCTTCCTTTACGTCTGTGTTAGAAGCATGTCGAAGTGCGTTGGAGATAAGCCACTCGATGAGGCCTGAGCCACTGACTCTTGTGGAAGGTTGACTGTTATACTCGTGCGTCTGATAATTTATTATGTAAAAGCCGGTAAACCAGCCGTACACATTGTATGCGGGAGATAAGCGAGTGGTGGAAGGTACCACGCTGGCTTGTCCATAGCCAATGTCATTGACAGGTATCCGGGATAGGAGGCATTAATGGGCTAAGGAGGGAAATCAGCGAATACTGATTTCACGATCTCAGAACTTCATATCAATTGATGCTAATGGGATACATTGAGAGTTGATATATGGGCTGCATCTGTGTTAATAGACTATTGGGATTTTTACGATTTTTTTTATATTTTTATGGTCTCGGTATGAATAATTCGTTGGAAAATATGGCCTTCAACCTCGAGGGAAAACTTGGGAGGTTTGATAGAAGAGGATTGATATGTAAAACTTTTTTACTGAAAAGATATCAATTCGTTGAAAATTGAGGGGATAGTTCAAGTAGGGATGGACAATGTTTTAAAAAACATCGATTATTAAAAAATTCGATGTTTTTCTCTTACAGAGGAAAACAAAATTTTTTAATAATTTTTTTCTTCTCGTTTTTATTGAAACAAAAATATATTGAATATTTGCTGTGGCTGGACGTTAGCTGCAACTATTGTTAAAAATTTACATGTAAAAGAATTACAAAATTTAAATTAAAAAAAAACAATAGATGACTGGAAATATTCACTTATTATTTATAACGTACATACTGGAGAAAATAATTACTTCTGATCGCGGATAGATTATTATTTTGTTTATTCTCAATCAATCAACATTATTACTCGATGAACAAATGAAAAATTTTGTTAGCTTGGTCAGGAACATCGGTGTTTTCGATTAATCGATAAACACCGCCCATTCCTAAGTTGAAAGAGTTAGTATTCGTTATTGAAAATTGGCTAAAATTGATGAAATGAGAGAAGAATTGTGATAAAAGGTTCAAGTTTCATTGAATTTTGTGAGATTGGTCAATTTTCTAAACGTTGTAGTATTTATTGGGGTTAATTAAGGAAATGTGCAGCGAAATATCAATGGAATTTCAGGATACCAATAAAAAATTCATATTTTCCTTGAAAATGTAAAGTTTTATCAAACCGTTCAATGTATTTGATATCAAGATTCCTGGAATTTTCATTGAATTTCATGAACTTCATGAATAGAATAGTTTTGTAATAATTTTCCGTACCGCGACTTCGAAGATCACGCAAATTCCACAACTTCCTTGAATTTCCAATTAAAATCTGAATATTCGAGAATAAATTCACATGAATTCTCCGGATTGGTATTGATTTTCCTGCAATAATTGAATTGAAATTTTGTTCGTCAAAATGAGAAAATTTTCCGTGAACTGCTGACACCATTTCGCTGCTAAATTCTTGGTATAGCCCCTAGGATCTAATTCAATCTGATACTTCAGTCCATCATTAAATTCGAAATCTCCCGTATTCCTTGAAACTGCCTGTGCATATCCCCAAAGAAAAACAAATAAAGAACCATCTTCTCAATTTCCACCATAAATAATGATATCGAAAAAGTTTCAAAAATTTATTTGACAAGATAATAACTAAAAGTAGTTATTAACTTTTATGAAACACTTCAAGCAACCAAACAATCTCTCAAACGCTCCTATGAACCACAGAAACCAAAAAAACCAGAAATATCAGTTCATTTTCATAGCGGTTGAATAGGAAAATAACCCCCCATCAGCTCGGCTCTAAGTTAACGACCGTAGAGGTAGAAAAATGAAGCCAATCGCCCAAGACTATAACGACTAGTCTATCCTAGAGGCGCTCCGCCATCCTACGTTTTCACAGTACACGTTTTAATTTTCAATTTTTTCCCCCCCTTTTTTGCCCATCTCTATCAAGCAGCAGGGTTGCGGGTCAGTTCAGACATGGGAAGTGAGCATTACTGCCTGAGGTGGAACAATCATCAGAGCAACTTGCTGGGTGTGTTCAGTCAGCTACTTGAGTCTGAATCACTGGTTGACGTGACACTGGCGTGCACAGAGGGTCCATCGATACGCGCGCACAAGGTTGTCCTATCAGCGTGCTCAAGTTACTTTCAAACACTGTTCCTAGATCATCCAAATCGTCATCCCATTGTCATACTCAAGGACGTAAGATTTACGGAATTACGTACTCTAGTTGACTTCATGTACAAGGGTGAGGTTAATGTCGAGTACTGCCAATTATCGGCTCTATTGAAGACTGCTGAGAGTCTCAAGGTCAAGGGTCTTGCGGACATGACAAATATTAATGCAGCAGTTGCATCAAGGGATGAACAACAGCAGCATATTAACGCTGAAACACCGCGTGACAATAGAAATGAGACACGTGAGAGGGACAAAGAGCGTGACAAAGAGCGTGACAAGGAGCCACCTAAGGACAATGAACAGGTGTTATTGCAGCCGAATCAGAATCAGAATCAGAATTCGCAACAAGTGTCACTGACGGCAAGTGAAAATTCGGAAGCTGTCGACATGACGGAGTGCCCACCATCACCAGCCAGAGTCAACAGCCCCTGTCCAGGTCCACTCGCTTTGGACAGACCGAGGAGAGACTCCGAGGATGCTGTGAGCTTAGAGGAAACAAGGGGATCACTCAGTCCAATTTCGGTGCACAGTGGTCCAAGTGATATGACTCTTAGTAATAACACGAGTACAACTGGTGGATTGCCGTTGAATTTACCGCAGAGTCGGCTTCCGTCCCCACACAGTACTGAGCCCCTGGCTGGACCATCTGGCTTACCGCCGGTCCAACAGGTACCCCTTGTGAGTATTCATTATTCATCAACAATTAGGTAGAGAAGTGGTAAAACTGTTCATTGAAATATTATATTCGCGTAATTTACTCTCGACTCTATTTGTTCGCGGGTTGAATGAAGAATTACCAGTCATTTTATCATTTCCCTGGTGAATTATTTTTGGTTTTTGGTAGTTATCAATTCCCTTTGTTCTTGCATTCGCAGTCCTTGAAGAAGGAAGTGGACTGGGATAGGTCGACCGAGGAGCGTTGTGCCAGCAGTGAAATATCAACGGATTACAGACTCCCACCAGATCCGGTGAGTCTCTTTTCGGTATGAATTTTTTTTCCATAAAAACAAACTCTTGGTTATTTAAATATTTCTCGTATATAAATATCTATATATTCAAGCTCTTTATTATGCATTTCATATCTATATATACATTTATCAATTCATTATTGCCAGCTGAATATTTAAAAAACTGACACTCATCTGCAATCATTTCAATAAATTTCGAATAAAAGAGAAAAAAAATCAAAGCAAGGTCGTTAGGTTGCCAATGATAATTTTAATGAGAAAGAAAATGTCTTCTTCACAATGATCAATTGCTCTGTATTATGTATCGGGTTATATCACCTATGGAATTATCATTGGACCATTACCGAATATCGAAAGTGTCGAAAAGCAGCAATTACTCTTTTCAAGATATTGTCGATACATAATTAAAGCAGTTAATTTTTTGACGTTTATTAAATCATGACTATGACGATTGCATGTGAGTACACTTGCATGACAATATAAAGCTTTGCTGTTCGCTGCTCTCCCTCCACTATTTGAAGAATAGAAAGTTATTAAAACGTTTGGAAAAAAGAAATTGAGGAAATCAGGTGAAAAAAAGATTACGTCTTACTACGATCACAAGTGGCTGAGATCAAATGAAAAAAATGAGGTCGTTGGCAACCCCTCAACATCTTGCGGCATAAAAAAAACAATTTTGAGACATAAATCGTTGAGAGAAAGTGCGTGCATGACATACTATTCTCACTTTTGATAAAGTCTGTTGTTTCTCATGTGCCGTCTCTCATTCCACGCTTTTATTCTCGCGTATCGTCGTATTTTGTCTTATGTGCATATATATATGTATATCCCACTATTCCTTCCTTCCCTCTCTCGCCACGCATACATCTCTGTTATCTCTCTCTTTCTCTTATGTATTCGTTCTCCTTGTCCTCTCAATCTTGTTCTCAGACACATCGTCCTTGCGGATACAAAAACAACAGTATAACACTAACCCCTTACCTTCCCCAATCCGTGAAAACTCACCATTGGGTATGTACCATTAGCCGGAAGAAAGATACCGCCCACACACGCGTCATCCATCAACCAAGACGTTCCCCATTCATCCTCATCTCTCTTGATTCTTTTCCCTGCGAATACAGCCAAATCCCAAACTGCATTTTGTCATTTTATCGAACAATGCGCAGATGCAATAGTCGATAAAAGTGTTTTATTGGAGATTAATATGAGAGTAATTGTCCTTGTCCTTCAGTGGGAGAAAATGTGGATTTAATTAACAATAAAAATCTCAACAAAGGAGTTAAATGTCAAGTGAAAATTGTGAAATTGAAACCACATCTAGTTAATGTTTTGACTTTTGTTGAGATTTTGTTGTTGACGTAAATATAATTATTGAATTTCGCAGCAAAGTGATAAAAACAGATGAATCAATTCTCCTTAAAGTCCAGTTCTTCTGAAATATCGCCACGGTCAACAATTCATTGAAATTCAATTGTTAGTTAGATGTCAGTTTTTAATGCTGTAACTGTGAATAGAATTTACGATCAAATTGTTCACTTTTTAAATATATTTCACATCAAATGGAATTGGCCCGATTGATATACACAAGTTATATAAAATATATATGAAACATATATAAATTTTTATTATATAAAATATAAATATAAAAACGTTCCATATGAATATATAAACGTTTTGTCCTGTGATTCAAGTTACGTAAAATATAAATTTATATATGTTTCATATATATCTTATATAAATCTTAAATATATTCGAAGAATATTATATATTAAATTGGCCTGTATTATATGTATTTTTTATATATTTTTCCACGGGAAAAGTTTCCGAAATTTCCATAATTCTCAAGAATTTTGATCATTCACATCAAATTAACATTGAAATTTCCCTTGAATTTCCATAAACTTGACTGATTTTTCATAAAAAAAATCTATTCACATTTCGATTGGAACTTTCTGTTGGGGAATAAAGCCTAGAAAAAAGTTCTATTCCCAAAAAGCCAGTCTCCACTAAAATTGATAAATCAGATTTCACCACTTTGCCTGAATTTTTCTCAATGTTGAAAAAAAACATTTTTTCGTTCCTCCGCCAAAGCCTGTCTTGCTAGCTCACTGTCAAGAAGTTGACCTTCGTTTTTTGGCCATGGTTGTTTTTTAACATCTCTATATATTATATATACAAATATACATGTATATATACGCATATACGACCATATACGATATATCACTGTGGACCGTAAATTGAAATTAATTATCGTCCAATGAAACCGTTGGAATTAATTTCAATGTTACAAAGCCTATATGTACCAAGTATGATTACTATGTATGTATATATTCATTTGAAGATATCGTGTATAAAGAGTATGCGATATATCAGCATTATATATTTTTCGTTTAATTTCATTATTACATCATTTTCTTTTTATACATTTGATAATTATAATTGTATTTTTCGATTGTTGTTTGGTTGAGTGCAATGCCTTTGCTCCGATATAATTATTGCGCTGCGGCATAAATTAATTTTCATGATAAAACATAAAACACGAATAAAATTTGAAATATAACATTGCCCCACGTGAACCGGCACGTGGGGATGATTCTTTGGGGGATTGATGGGAATTATGCTTTTGACATTTACATGTTACCATTATAATTACTATATACACACCCTACATAGTTTTGAAAAAAAAAATCTATATATAACCGGGGGAGGGCGCGCCAAACAAAAATGAGCGTCAACTTCTTGTGCTGCCGTTGTTTTTTCACGTTTAATGATAAAAAATATTGATGAAAACCGTGAGGAGAATCCACTTCTCGCGTGACAATGAAAAGAAAGTGCGCGCTTTGAGAAGAAGGAACACTTGCCAATCGAAAGTTGAGTTAGAGAAGAGTAGATTATTTAGAAAAAAGACCACAATAAGTCTTGATAAAACGAATGAGATCAATTGAAGAGACTCTGCAGGTGACACTGGACTCAATCGATGCCTCCCACCGATTGAGCACTCCCGATCAAACCGGAAGTACTCCAGTAGAGTCACGTGCAGAGTCCTTGACCTTAATTATCACTTTGTCAATTTTTTTTTCAACTTTTTTTTATCTGATAATAAAAGAGCCTTGGAACAGTCTCTCTGTGACCGTGGAAGGACGTAAAGTTGACGATCAATGACTATCGCTTTTTCAACCGTGAAAAGGACAAATTTTTACGAGAAATTTGTTTTCGATGAGAGAAAAAAATAATAAGTACAACATAAATAAAGAGAGAAAAAGAAAATTAGTTAAAAGTGAGGGAGCGTGTGAGCGTGCTAAAATAGCGTTAGCCGGAAGACAAGAAGTTGATGTTCTTGTTTGTTTGGTTGCAGGAGTTGATGGGTGTGGATGAGCGGGTGTTTGCGTGCATGTACTGCGGTGCCTCGTTCCTCCACCAGAGCAAGCTGACACGGCACATCCTATCGCACAGCCTCGAGTCGCTCAAGTACCGCGAACAAGCGGCTCACCTGCAGCTGCAGGCTCAATTGGGCCTTGAGCCTGGTATGCACCTGCCACCGGAGGCACACTATCCCCCCGGTGGTCCAGTTGAACCAATGGATCTAGAGCTGGCTGCCCATTCAGATCCAACATCCGGTGTTGTACTTTGCAAATTTTGTGGTAAATCATTTCCCGATGTTGGCTCATTAATAGCCCATCTACCAGCGCACACTGGTGATAGGCCATTCAAGTGTGAATTTTGTGGTAAAGCATTCAAACTTAGACACCATATGAAGGATCATTGTCGTGTACATACGGGTGAAAGGCCATTCAGATGTACATTGTGTGGTAAAACATTCTCAAGATCAACGATACTTAAGGCACATGAGAAAACCCATTATCCAAAGTACGTTAGAAAATTTTTATCACCGAGCCCAGTTGATCCGACTGAGGAAGAGGCACCACAACCACCACCACCACCGCATCATTGAGCCGTGAGTGATGCTAATGCTACCGGAGTTGAACAATCATCCTGGGAATCAGCACTCTTTGCCAATAAGATGGATAACAAGTGTGATTATGTGGACGCGAGGTGTCACAGCGGTGCCTCCTTTTTATCACCCGTCCTTACCACATCTCTCGATTCACTCTCATGATTTTTTTTTCCACCTCCCCATTCCTTTGTTCCGTTATCTGCAGTAAACGAGTACCTACCTTCTTCGGATCATCTCGTTTCAGTGTATTTTCAGTATCCTCGCGTCCAACTTCACTGCTCCGACAGAAAAAAAAAAAAACAAGGTTAGCTGTAATCATTGCGTTTTACTGTAACGAGGCTCCCTTTGGATGATTAAAGTGGATATTTTTTAGTGTAAGAAAATTCATGATGAGCTGACAGTGGCACTTTGCCCCAGAGATAGGTATTTTCTAGTTAGTCCTGTGATTATTTCGGTTAGGATGGGTGGTTACACGCGTGTTCAGGGGGAGGGACACGTTAAAACGAGCTCCCCCGTTTAATCAGTGCTTTAAGACAAAAAAAAATTGATGAAGAAAAAAACACAAAAAAAACGTTTAGCTTAATTATACATATATCGGTAAACAATTGAGAGGTGCGATTGGAATGAAGTGATTAGAGCTGTGGAAAATGAGTTGAACATGCAGAGATTGATTTTTTAGAGGAACGAGAGATTCAATCGGTCGAGGATATCGCAACGGAGTTGGATATTGTGAAGAGAATAGGCGAGAGTGAGTTGAAAATGAGGTAAAAAAAATTGAGCCGCCACGGTTGGTGCTTTTAAGAGATTTTGATAAAATGCTGTGAATACTATATATTGATTATGATAACTATAACTATTGTAATAATGTACTAACGTTGTACGATGTACGATGACTGTTGTTGATACGATTGAGAATATTTTATACAGTTGATGAAGAGAGGGGTGGGTGTTTTTGCGGGCTGGGTGGGGGAAGCGGCAGGGGGGTGGGGGGAATTTCGTGCGTTCACATGTTCACTGGGGGGTGAATGTAGGATTTTTGTTGGTGGGTGGGAGGTAGTGT